TACATACAGTTGATACTACAGCTCAACTGATCATTTTGGCTTATCTTCCTTTGAAAATTAACAAAAATTTAAGGTATGAAGTATTTTTTTTCCTTAACTTTACTATTTAGCTACAGGTTGGCCTTGTGAGCTCTTCTAATGTAACAACAACAACAGCTACAGGTTGTCATTGTGATCATTTAAAATACTTAGTTATTATTTATTTAGTTATTAAACTCTATATTGCTTAAATAAGTGTCCATTGTTCTATCTAGAATTGAAAACCAATGACCCGAAAAATAATCTAAACGATCACATACTCATAAAATCGATTTCCCTTTAAGAGTCATCTAATATGGTTACCGATACGATTAGTCCACATCCCTATTTACGTCGCGATGACAAGTATCAAAAGGTGGCTCATATTTCATGACGACTATAGTTTGTATTATTTTTATGAATTGTGATAATATCACTTTTGACATATGATCACATGTGGCTTGATTATGCTTTTACTATGCTTTATACCAAGGATACGATTTTGATCTAAATAATTTTTCGAAAATTTCAGTTATTTTTTCCATCTTTTAAACACAAAGCTACAGCCGTTCATTAATTTGTAACGGTAGTACAAACAATTGTTACAAAAACACAAGAATATCGTATTACAAGAGGTTTCGGATTATTAAAAAAATGTATATTGTGGGATTTGAACACTTTTTTTTAATACCCATCATTTTTAAACGACTTCAAAATAGGAGGAAGTTCTCAATTTGTCTGAATTTTTTTGTGTGTATATATTACGTTTTTTATTATATATTTATTTGTGAACCGATTTTGATGACTCTTTTTTGTTCGAAAGAGGGTACCTCCGTATCGGTCCCATATAAATTTTAAGGAAATATTCCTTATCTGAAGGTGGCAAACAAGGGGATGAATCTGGTTTTGCGCACTTTACATTAACCGATTACAATATAACGTAGCAAATAGATCTAATTCCAATAAAAAACGGATAAGCAAACTTTTGAAGTTGGTCATATATAGTTGTTTATTTTTAATAAAATAAACAACTATATATAATCATATAATAAACCCGCACAATTTCCCAGTATACCGGACAAGGGATCGAGATTTATTATGCGTAAAAATGTTATGCGACATATGAAAAAAGTTGTGTATCTTTCCAGAATACGATAGAAAGCATCACTGCCACAAAGACAAGCTCGAGTGGTTTAATGACAGCGCTTCTATTTACTAATCTATAGATACGAGGGCCACATCTAGAGATATATGATTCAAATAATTCTTTGCAATTAACTGCATATTAGTTGATTTACATAGATTACTAATCAGTTTGAAATAGTAACAGCATATTATGTATATACTGGAACCTGGTTCTTGCAAGTATTTTTTTTAGTCACAGTAGAGTTTTTTGTGAAAGAGTGTCTACGAGTAATTCGCTCAACAAAACTTACATAATAGACTTACTTGCACCAATCACTCGCTAAATCGATTAGCTGGTTTAGAAGACTTGTTTTCAGAGCTTGATTCGCAAAGGTAACACTTTATGTAGTATGTAGGGTACCTTAAGGTGCCAACGTATTGTTTGTCGAAATTAAGACACTGTGGAATGTATGTATGTTATTATAACTTAAATTTATTGTTATTGCTATTATCTTCTTTCATGATTTTATTAAATACAAATTTCATAATTTTTGTATAAATAAGATAAATCGCGGTGCCCCGCTGGGTGACATGACTGGACCCTATATTAATTTAAAAAGTTACTACCCGTGTGATGTTAAGATTAAATCCTTAGAATAAATAACGCATAGAATGATAGTTTCATATCAAACGAACTGTCACAAGTGAGGCAAAAATCAAATTCATGTAGGCTAGTTTTAGTCGTAGGTTAATTTTCGGTTTTAGTGAATATTTATATAAAAATACAAGTTGCAACGCGTTACTTCCTTATGGAATGTGATGTTAGTATCTATTTTATGTTTATCTGACGTATTTTTATACTCATTTGCTGCACATTTCGTAATTTTTAGCTAAAATTCTTGATCTGTTCGCGGTGCAAGTTGACCTTGAGCACTGAAGGCCAGCCCGCTCGTGTAGGCCCATTGGGCGCGCTTCAATTTGCCTCACTTAGCGTGTGCGGACTAGGTTTTCGTTATTATTCTAAGATTAAATCATTATAAATGATTATGATCATATAAATTAGGCGTATGTACCTTTAAATTTGTTTGATTTAACCCTTGATATTTAACGATCGCTACCATGTCATTGTAACGATCGTCAAAAAAAGAGCAAATCTGTAGGCGCATATTAATCGTCAAACCACACTTGTCGAACGACATTTACGATCGGCATAAATCGAGCAAATGTGTAAGCACCTTATGAATTATTACTACTCTTTGTTATTGAATGAATGAATGAATTAATCTAATATTCTTTATTGCACGTAAAATTACAGTGACAATATAAAACACTAACTTAAATTTAAAAATAGAAGTTAATGCAAAAATAATTATAATATTAATTATTAATAATCAGTATTATTATTTTATGTTTTATATAAGTATACATGCTACTCTATTATATTGGGATGATATAGATTGATATATTGAAACGAGCTCCTTGTGAAAGAGTCCAGTTCAGGGAAATACTGCCACCTTACCTATTTCTGCCGCCAAGCAGTAATGTGGGCATCATTGCGTTCCGGTTTTGAAGGGTAAAGGTGCTGGTGAAATAATAGGCACATGAGACTTGTCAACTTGTGTCTCAGGGTGATAGGCGCACATCTACTAGTGTCCCTCAGATCTTTGCGATTTAAAGCTCTGAGTGGCACTGCAACTGCTATGGACAGGTGTGTCGTTTAACACCAATCGCACGACTTGTTCGTCCTGTCATTTAGTATCATAAGAAAAGCTAACGCACGCACATTTTCACAATAATAAAAGCAAGACCAACCTTCGTATAGACGCGAAGTACTGGCCCAAAAAGTCTTTGGCGTCGTTGAGTACTTCTTCTGGATTCCGAGCAATTTCTCCACGCCCTGGGATAGCCATGACGCTACCGAGACAAGCTCTTTCGTTGCACATTGTTGGCTGTAAACAAGAAAAAATACCATTAAAATTTTATTTTTAAAACAAAATTTTAAAATCGCTTTTCCATATCTAATATCAAAACCGAAACTCGCAACAAAATAACAATAATTCGACCGAATTCTTTTTTTGAAATACGAACTCCCCGGACAGTGAACGTCATTGGCATTGACGTGAGTCGTGATATCCAACATTCCATTTTTGAAATACCTACCAATTCAAAATATGTTGCGTACATTTATGAATCCTGGTTAAATAAAATAAAGGTGTATAAATTGATTTTATTATGTACATCGGTTTTCATTTCAAAATGTGTAAAAGTATTGTGCATCATTATAATACATTTATCAGATGCTAGTAACTTAATCATCATCTCACTGTTGGTCACTTGCCTCCTCTTAGGCAAGTATTTAGGCCGTTGTCCGCCACTCTGGACCAATGCGGGTTGGGGACTTTACACGTTTTTCGAGGCTTGTGAACCTTCTTCGGTGTGTCTCATTAGGATGTTTTCCTCCACCGAAAACCTCATTGTAAATTTCAAGTTAAATTTCGCACATAAAGAGATGCGAGCCCGAATTCGAACTCACGGCCGCTGCTTGAGCTTGTTACCACGACTTTGTTTTGAATATCGGTTTTAATTTCATTCACATATTAAACCCCTTTAGTAGTAATAAAAACATTGTGTATCATTTATCAGATGCTAGTGTGATACATTTATCAGATCACGTAGGCAATGACAACCCTATCCCTGTCTGCTAATCGTTCCAGGCGTAATTTCCCTGTGACTGTGATATGTCTCATTGTGCAAAATGGTAACCTAACACAAACTCGAATTTATTTTTTTCCGAAATAACGTCTGTTCGAATTTTCATTGTCCCGAAAACCGAATTATAACGAAGCCGTTGTTCTTTCAGGATATGTTGGTTGTTTATCGCAAAGGCACGATTAGGTTCGGTTAGGTTAAGTTAAGTTAGGTATAAAGAAAAACCATTTTCCGCTCAAAATTACTTTCGAGGTTAAGAAAATTCGAGCAAACTTTATTTCTGGAAAATGTCATTTTGGACTTCTGATAGGTAACTGTGCAAAGTATGCAGTAGCAGTGCGACAAGAGCAAAATTGTGTAATACAGTACAAAAGTTCTGCAGTCCGTCTGACATCAGTTCGAAACAATTACTGTCAAAAACGTATTACTCGACCAAGTTAAAAGAAAATGTCAAATATGAAGCTTCATTCGCATCATGGTTCTTTTAATTTCGTTGAGTATTACTTATTTGATAGTAATTGTTTCGGACGGATGTCGGACAGCGAAAGGGAGTAGACCCCCAGAACACAAATTTATGTGTCTTCGGTCTGCACAAGAGACGAAAGTGCTATATGCAGTATGTAATAAGAATCACACAGTGTAGCAATGTAATCAAAGTGGAGTTTGAAAACGGTGATATGTACACAAAAGTGTATTGTTTTTTTAAATAATGGTGTAGGTAAGCCTCTTTAAAAAGTGTACAGTGCGTAATAACAATTGAAGAGACAAAATAAAAGAAAATTTCACTTTAATTGACCTCTCAATTTGTAACTTACATATCTTTCTGAACACAGTAGTGATCTCGTCAAGGCGAGCACATCTATTTCTCCAAAAAAATAAGGGTGCTTTTGAGCCCCGAATATGTTATGGCATAAAGTAAAAGCTTGAAATTACTTCTGTCGGTGGTACTTAGTGTACCAACCCCTAAATAACAATTTTTTTCCACTTTAAACTTATTGACTCTATTACATTTTTATCTACAAAAAATATTACAGCGAAAAATTGGCTTTTCATTTAAACTTTGATACGAATACCAAACTTAATCCGCGCAATTGATATATATTTTACTAAGTTAATTTTTATTCTAAGTAGTTTCGATTTTAAGTTTGAAAGTGGAATGGTTTTTGCCAAATGGTATAATTTGTGTATAAAACAAGTATTGCATAAACATTAATTCGATAATACTATGGTTAATAAACGGTGTCAATTTTTGATCTGTCCTAATTATTGCACGCCGTAAAATCCTCGATCTCAGAACTAACTGAGTGCTGCGATTAGTCGTTTCATAAATCTCCGGTATTGGAGTATAATATATACGGCAGGTATTGTATATTTTTTACATTTCTCACACAGTGCTACACATTCTGGGCTGGAAATAAAAAAAAAACCACTTAAATAAAAAAAAGCAAAGTGACCTATGCGTTTTTAAAAACAATTGACAAAACATTTTTTTTTATTTTTATTGAATTCAATTATTTTTTATGTGAAATTACTCCACTAGTTTGTTATACTTATTAATTCAAAGATCGAACCCTTAGAAATAATTGCTTCGATCCGGCCGGATTCGAACCAACGTCTTCTAGCATATAATTTTTTTTTGAGTGTTCGATCTTTGTATTAATCATTATAACAAACTAGTGGAGTAATTTCACAAAAAAAAAATTGAATATCTATTCAATAAAAAATTAAATACAGTTGAATAGCGACATCTCTAGCCGGGGCTGGTAGCTAAAAAGGTATCTAACTGGGTGACAAAATACTTTCATAGATGGCGCTACGGCTAAAAAGAAATTGAAAAGCCAAATACAAAGACACGACAACAAGCACATAGAAAAATTCGTGAGGTCCGCTGGTTCGTTCCGTGGCATAATTGGTATTGCGTCTGACACGGTATGCTAGAAGACGTCGGTTCGAATCGAGTCGGTTAATAATTATAAAAAACATTTTTTTTAAATAATGTACCAAGCAACCACACCAATGACTTGGTCTCAAAGTAGCTAAATACACAAGAAACAGAAAAAAGTACACATGAAATAAAAATAAATAAAATATTTTAAACATGAAATAAAATATTTTTGTGCGGCTCACATTTTTTACTAATTTTTTTAAATTCATTTTCGCACTATTCAAAATTTGGGTACTTAGCTAACTTATTTATCTCGTGGTTGAAAAAGTCTGAGTAACGGTCAGGTAACTCATACAAGCGAACGCGGGATCTCCACGCCTGTGCCTGCCACACGTCATGTCAAATAGTCGGTCCTGATATCAGCATTGTTATTGTTAATTATTGAATACTGACTATAGCGTCGTTAGCTTAAAAGGTAACAAATAATTAAGAAACTCATAACGTAATTATACTTAAACTTAAAATTCATTCGTGTAAAATCTATAACTACATAATCTCAGTACAGAGTACTAAAAAAACCGACCTCAAAAGTACGTGGAATTACATCTATTTGCTTAGTTTTATTAAAATATCCTTAAATTCGCCACTATACAGGACTTGACACTGGAGATAATAGTGGAGAAATAGCAAAATCAACCATTAAAATAATTGCTACTAAGAAAATTTAGGCGCTATTTACAAAAATGAATCTTCATGCGTGAACAGCCACCCTTAGAGGTGGATGATTTCCTTCAAAATGAAATGGGACCACTATGGAAGTACCCCCTTTCCAACAAAAAAAGAATCATGAAAATCGGTTCACAAATACCGGAGTTATCGCGTAACATACATCCAAAAAAAACATACAGTGAGAACCTCCTCCTCCTCCTCCTCCAAAACTATTTGACCATTTAATTTTTTCCTAAAAAATCGTGTGAAATATTTGTTTTTTTAAATTGCCAGTTTTTTCAAATTTCGCCGCTCTTTTAGTGAAGTATAAATTGCTAGTTGACAAGAATAAAAAAATAAAAAAGGTTCTTTTTAGACTTGTTACTGAGGTTTTGTTCAGAAAATACTGAATTTTACAGTGAATGGGACATCGAGCTTTTCATTGGTTAAAATAATCACATGACAAAGGTGAGATGCTCTATAATATGTCAATCTTGCGCGGCAGACACGTCTCATGTTTTTTGAATAATTTTCCTGGTGAATTACATATTTTTGAGAAAGCTCATCACTATTCCAGAAAACCATCGGAATATACTATGCCAAATCCGTAGAGTGGTCCCTTTGTAACTTTTTTTTTGTGAATAATCCTTCTCTATTTCAACTAATTTAAATTATTCCATAAAACCAACTTTATTGATAATAAACAATAACAATCGAACTTCTAGTCACGTATTCATCCAAAGAACGGCGTAGGTAATACGCATGAGTGGAAAATGTAAACAATTGGCATTTTTGCCTTATCAATCGCGCACGAGTACTAACTAATATAGGTAGTAAAAGTTACATTGTATTGTTTTAGTTATCCCCCGATTATTATAAAGAGGCATACCATAGACTATGATTAACTCCACCATTATTTTATATATGAGTACATTAATTCTACATTATCGGTCCAAAAGGACCTATTATCATAGGTTAATTTTATTATATAAATAGATTCCATAGCAATAGTTATACGTGATTATATTATGTAGATACAGTCAACATTTTCTTGAAATTCATTTCGTATGCATTAGCAGAAAAAGTATTTCTAATTTTATGCCAAAAATTGTGCCAGAAAAATGCAATTTAACTAGTGTTGACAAGCAGTTTTTACACAAATAGTTTTTTAAACTAAATAAAACCTAATTAAAACCTAATAATATTTAAAAAAATATTATTAGGTTCTTTTTCCCGTTTAAAAACAATCTAATAATGTTTTCATTCAAAAACTAAATACAATTCAATTCATTTAAAAACTAAATGAATTACATTATTATTAATCATAACGTTTTGAGTTTCATAGTTATGTAATTTTTTTAAGGTCATGGCTCTATAGCCAGAGCTCAAAAAATAAATAAATAACAGTGTCGACGGGAAATTGCGAGTTTTTGTACTTACAGATTTTACACGAATTAATTTTAAGTTTAAGTAGGTATAATACGTTATGAGTTTCTTTATTATTTGTTACCTTTTTAAGCTAATGACGCTATAGTCAATATTCATGCTGGGGGTTACATTTAAGATTATTATTGATACAAAGATTGAACAAAAGGAACGAATGAACGAATAAAAAAGTGACCCGATTCAACTGACTCGAACCAGCAT